AAATCTCATAACTAAGCCAAAAGCGCATTAATTTCAATTCGGAAAGCGGCCTTATGTTAATTTTTAGCAGGTTAATAAAACTGCATACTCAATTTAAAATGTAAATTTTTGCCCGATTTTTGCAAATTTTCATGATGTAACCCCTTTCCTTTTTTTAAAAAATGGGAAATTTCAGAAAAAAATTGTTTTCGGCCGGAGATGGCTAGAAAGATTCGCCTGTTGATGCTGATCAAGAATATATATGATTTATAGGGTCGGAAATGACTCCTTCACTTTCTTTTAAGCTTCTGACTGAAGATCCATTACCATTTTTAACCGATATTTACTTTTTTTTTTTAATGCAATTTTTCGTCAAACCAAAATTTACAAATCTCATAACTAAGCCAAAAACGCATTAATTTCAATTCGGAAAGCGGCCTTATGTTAATTTTTAGCAGGTTAATAAAACTGCATACTCAATTTAAAATGTAAATTTTTGGCCGATTTTTGCAAATTTAAAAAAAAAAATGGGAAATTTCAGAAAAAAATTGTTTTCGGCCGGAGATGGCTAGAAAGATTCGCCTGTTGATGCTGATCAAGGAAATATATGATTTATATTGTCGGAAATGACTCCTTCACTTTCTTTTAAGCTTCTGACTGAAGGTCCATTACCATTTTTTAACCGATATTAACTATTTTTTTGTAATGAAATTTTTCGACAAACCAAAATTTAAAAATCTCATAACTAAGCCAAAAGCGCATTAATTTCAATTCGGAAAGCGGCCTTATGTTAATTTTTAGCAGGTTAATAAAACTGCATACTCAATTTAAAATGTAAATTTTTGCCCGATTTTTGCAAATTTTCATGATGTAACCCCTTTCCTTTTTTTTAAAAAATGGGAAATTTCAGAAAAAAATTGTTTTCGGCCGGAGATGGCTAGAAAGATTCGCCTGTTGATGCTGATCAAGAATATATATGATTTATAGGGTCGGAAATGACTCCTTCACTTTCTTTTAAGCTTCTGACTGAAGATCCATTACCATTTTTTAACCGATATTTACTTTTTTTTTTTAATGCAATTTTTCGTCAAACCAAAATTTACAAATCTCATAACTAAGCCAAAAACGCATTAATTTCAATTCGGAAAGCGGCCTTATGTTAATTTTTAGCAGGTTAATAAAACTGCATACTCAATTTAAAATGTAAATTTTTGGCCGATTTTTGCAAATTTAAAAAAAAAATGGGAAATTTCAGAAAAAATTCTTTTCGGCCGGAGATGGCTAGAAAGATTCGCCTGTTGATGCTGATCAAGGAAATATATGATTTATATTGTCGGAAATGACTCCTTCACTTTCTTTTAAGCTTCTGACTGAAGGTCCATTACCATTTTTTAACCGATATTAACTATTTTTTTGTAATGAAATTTTTCGACAAACCAAAATTTAAAAATCTCATAACTAAGCCAAAAGCGCATTAATTTCAATTCGGAAAGCGGCCTTATGTTAATTTTTAGCAGGTTAATAAAACTGCATACTCAATTTAAAATGTAAATTTTTGCCCGATTTTTGCAAATTTTCATGATGTAACCCCTTTCCTTTTTTTTAAAAAATGGGAAATTTCAGAAAAAATTGTTTTCGGCCGGAGATGGCTAGAAAGATTCGCCTGTTGATGCTGATCAAGAATATATATGATTTATAGGGTCGGAAATGACTCCTTCACTTTCTTTTAAGCTTCTGACTGAAGATCCATTACCATTTTTTAACCGATATTTACTTTTTTTTTTTAATGCAATTTTTCGTCAAACCAAAATTTACAAATCTCATAACTAAGCCAAAACGCATTAATTTCAATTCGGAAAGCGGCCTTATGTTAATTTTTAGCAGGTTAATAAAACTGCATACTCAATTTAAAATGTAAATTTTTGGCCGATTTTTGCAAATTTAAAAAAAAAAAGGGAAATTTCAGAAAAAATTCTTTTCGGCCGGAGATGGCTAGAAAGATTCGCCTGTTGATGCTGATCAAGGAAATATATGATTTATATTGTCGGAAATGACTCCTTCACTTTCTTTTAAGCTTCTGACTGAAGGTCCATTACCATTTTTTAACCGATATTAACTATTTTTTGTAATGAAATTTTTCGACAAACCAAAATTTAAAAATCTCATAACTAAGCCAAAAGCGCATTAATTTCAATTCGGAAAGTGGCCTTATGTTAATTTTTAGCAGGTTAATAAAACTGCATACTCAATTTAAAATGTAAATTTTTGCCCGATTTTTGCAAATTTTCATGATGTAACCCCTTTCCTTTTTTTTAAAAAATGGGAAATTTCAGAAAAAAATTGTTTTCGGCCGGAGATGGCTAGAAAGATTCGCCTGTTGATGCTGATCAAGAATATATATGATTTATAGGGTCGGAAATGACTCCTTCACTTTCTTTTAAGCTTCTGACTGAAGATCCATTACCATTTTTTAACCGATATTTACTTTTTTTTTTAATGCAATTTTTCGTCAAACCAAAATTTACAAATCTCATAACTAAGCCAAAAACGCATTAATTTCAATTCGGAAAGCGGCCTTATGTTAATTTTTAGCAGGTTAATAAAACTGCATACTCAATTTAAAATGTAAATTTTTGGCCGATTTTTGCAAATTTAAAAAAAAAAAGGGAAATTTCAGAAAAAATTCTTTTCGGCCGGAGATGGCTAGAAAGATTCGCCTGTTGATGCTGATCAAGGAAATATATGATTTATATTGTCGGAAATGACTCCTTCACTTTCTTTTAAGCTTCTGACTGAAGGTCCATTACCATTTTTTAACCGATATTAACCATTTTTTTTTTAATGAAATTTTTCGACAAACCGAAATTTAAAAATCTCATAACTAAGCCAAAAACGCATTAATTTCAAATCGGAAAGCGGCCTTATGTTAATTTTTAGCAGGTTAATAAAACTGCATACTCAATTTAAAATGTAAATTTTTGCCCGATTTTTGCAAATTTTCATGATGTAACCCCTTTCCTTTTTTTAAAAAAATGGGAAAAGCTTCTGACTGAAGGTCCATTACCATTTTTTAACTGATATTAACTATTTTTTTTTTAATGAAATTTTTCGACAAACCGAAATTTAAAAATCTCATAACTAAGCCAAAAACGCATTAATTTCAATTCGGAAAGCGGCCTTATGTTAATTTTTAGCAGATTAATAAAACTGCATACTGAATTTAAAATGTAAATTTTTGGCCGATTTTTGCAAATTTTTATGATGTAACCCCTTTCCTTTTATTAAATAAATGGGAAAAGCTTCTGACTGAAGGTCCATTACCATTTTTTAACTGATATTAACTATTTTTTTTAATGAAATTTTTCGACAAACCAAAATTTAAAAATCTCATCAATAAGCCAAAAACGCATTAATTTCAATTCGGAAAGCGGCCTTATGTTAATTTTTAGCAGATTAATAAAACTGCATACTGAATTTAAAATGTAAATTTTTGGCCGATTTTTGCAAATTTTCATGATGTAACCCTTTTCCTTTTTTTTTTTAAAATTAGAAATTTTTCGACAAACCAAAATTTAAAAATCTCATAAATAAGCCAAAAACGCATTAATTTCAATTCGGAAAGCGGCCTTATGTTAATTTTTAGCAGATTAATAAAACTGCATACTCAATTTAAAATGTAAATTTTTGCCCGATTTTTGCAAATTTTCATGATGTAACCCCTTTCCTTTTATTAAATAAATGGGAAAAGCTTCTGACTGAAGGTCCATTACCATTTTTTAACTGATATTAACTATTTTTTTTTTAATGAAATTTTTCGACAAACCGAAATTTAAAAATCTCATAACTAAGCCAAAAACGCATTAATTTCAATTCGGAAAGCGACCTTATGTTAATTTTTAGCAGGTTAATAAAACTGCATACTCGATTTAAAATGTAAATTTTTGGCCGATTTTTGCAAATTTTCATGATGTAACCCCTTTCCTTTTTTTAAAAAAATGGGAAATTTCAGAAAAAAATTGTTTTCGGCCGGAGATGGCTAGAAAGATTCGCCTGTTGATGCTGATCAAGGAAATATATGATTTATAGGGTCGGAAATGACTCCTTCACTTCCTTTTAAGCTTCTGACTGAAGGACCATTACCATTTTTTAACCGATATTAACTATTTTATTTTAATGAAATTTTTCGACAAACCAAAATTTAAAAATCTCATAACTAAGCCAAAAACGCATTAATTTCAATTCGGAAAGCGACCTTATGTTAATTTTTAGCAGGTTAATAAAACTGCATACTCGATTTAAAATGTAAATTTTTGGCCGATTTTTGCAAATTTTCATGATGTAACCCCTTTCCTTTTTTTAAAAAATGGGAAATTTCAGAAAAAAATTGTTTTCGGCCGGAGATGGCTAGAAAGATTCGCCTGTTGATGCTGATCAAGGAAATATATGATTTATAGGGTCGGAAATGACTCCTTCACTTCCTTTTAAGCTTCTGACTGAAGGTCCATTACCATTTTTTAACCGATATTACCTATTTTTTTTTTATGAAATTTTTCAACAAACCAAAATTTAAAAATCTCATAACTAATCCAAAAACGCATTAATTTCAATTCGGAAAGCGGCCTTATGTTAATTTTTTTTAAAATATGATATTTCCCGCCATACTACGTTTAAAAATCGATATTAATTGTGGTTGAAATGTACGCTTACCTCCAGACTAAAATCAGGTTCGAAACTCTGATGGAAAGTACAAGGTTATCCTCCATCTGCTGTCTTATTTGCATTTGGTGCATGAAAACCAGTTAAGGCTTAATTTATACTGAAGGTGTTTTAAATTAAGACATATTTTTGCCAACAAAAACAACAAAATATTTTAGAACAAAACATAAAATACATAATGTTCTATGTGGTTTGAGTCTTCGCTACTTTCGGTTGAAGATCTTCGAGTTCGAAACAATTTTCCATTTAGAAGTTTTTAAAGTCGTATTGCGCTTGTGTCGGCTGGTTTTTTTCTACTTAAACGGTCATACTATCAGCTGTTGCTGAAAACGTTTTTATTATTACTATTTGCGAATTTATAAAATGAATACAATTCGACCCTGCGGATGCAAAGGCGTGCGAACCTGCCTGAGCTGTGAGGCGGATTTCCAGATAGCCAAGCCCTCGCTCCAGGAGGAGTTCCAGCAACTAGAATCCTGGTCGTACTGCGTCCAATGCGAACTTTTGCAGCCGGGATGGGACACGGTAAGGGTTCAGGAAATGCACGAGAAGCACAAAAAGGAGGAGGGCCTTCCCCTGCCAGGAATCCTAGTGCAGGAGCAATTTCTTAGCGCCCAAGAGGGCGCTCAGCTCATGGCCGACCTCGACGCGTTACCCTGGGATATTTCGCAGAGCGGGCGGCGCAAGCAGAACTTTGGACCCAAAACGAACTTCAAGAAGCGTAAACTGCGTTTGGGCTCCTTCGCGGGATTCCCCCGCAGCACGGAGTATGTGCAGCGGCGATTCGAGGAGGTGCCTTTATTGCAGCGCTTCCAGACCATCGAACAGTGCTCCCTGGAGTATGATCCCAGTAAGGGAGCGAGCATAGATCCGCACGTGGATGACTGCTGGATCTGGGGCGAGCGAGTGGTTACAGTCAATTGCCTCGGCGATGCCGTTCTCACCCTCACGCCCTATGAAGTTCAGCAGACGGGCAAGTACAACCTGGACTTGGTGCCTCAATACGAAGACGAGCTGCGAGCGCCACTACTCGAGGAGGAGCAGTTGGTTAGGTACCAGGGAAAAGTTCTGCGGATACCCATGCCCAAGTAAGTACACCGATTGAACAACTTTTTGGAAACTCCCTCAAATCACTCACCTTGTTTTTATAGCCTTTCCCTAATTGTTTTGTACGGCCCAGCGAGGTATCAATTTGAGCATTCCGTGCTTCGCGAGGACGTACAGGAGCGTCGCGTCTGCATAGCCTACAGAGAGTTCACTCCCATGTACATCACTGGAGAGGACCAGCAGAAGGGTGATCCTGTGCGCGACAAGTCTAAACTATTTTGGGAAATAAAAACTATCATCTAAATTAATAAAATGACTTTATTATTTGGGAGAATTGCCCTGCTCTGCAGTGGCTGGCTTGTAGTCGAGGAGTGCCACCTGGGCGGGCAGCTGTACGCCATGGATCTTCTTCAGGTGAGCCCTGAGGTTGCTGCTGGTGCTGAAGCTATTGGAACAGACGACGCACTGGTGCTGCGAGTGTTTGCGGCGGATGTGCTCGTTGAGCTCGCGCACCTTGGCAAAGGCCGAGGTGCAGTATTTGCATACGTGCGAGTTGCGAACATGGGTCTTAAGGTACTGGGGCGAGGTGTAGGCCAGCGGACAGTACTGACACTTGTAGATGGCGTGGCTGCCACTCGGCTCAGCATCCAGCAGCCGATTGGCCTCGTTGTACTCATCCAGGTTGTAGTGTTTTAGCTCCACGGCCGCATAGTCTACGGTGCGCATTTCGTAGGGGGCGGGGCCAGCTGCTGCATGTGGGAATCTGGCAGATCCAAGCGTGGTGGAGCCGTGGTGGCGGGCAGGAACTCGGATACAATCAGCGAGTCATGGTTGGCCAACCTTTGTGAGGGCTTCGCGCGAATCTCGCTACTAACTGCCGGCTCTGGTTCTTTCGGCGGTTTTTCGGGTTCTAATACAATAATCTCTGAGTCCGTATCCTCCCAGAACTGAGATTCCACCTCTGGCTGGCGAACTAAGTCTTCACTGACATTTTCTTCCTCCTCGCAAGCTTCCTGTTGCGCTTCTTCGTACAACTGCTGGAGCTGCTGATTGGCAATCTTGAGCTTCCAAAAGAATGCATACTGTTGAAGACACTCGTCCAGGCAGCGAGTGCATATCATGGGCAGCTCCTCCGTGAGATTTAGGTCTACGTTCTGTGGAAGATTCGTAAATTGGGTAAGATCGTCACATTTGTATATGAACTTATTCACAAACCTGAGCGTACATCGTCTGTATTAGCTCGAGAATGGTATGCTCGGGGCTCGCGCTGGCCCTGTGCTCTGTGATGTCCACCTCCGCGCTGTCTACAAAGCAAATTCTGCACAGTTTTCGCAAGTCCATTGAAAATAAAATAAACCAGATCAAATTTTTACTAACAAATAGCTGACAGTGTGACCAACTTTTGTTTTCTTAGAATTCCCTGTAAAAGAAAATACTAAAAACATGCACAAGTTCTAAGTGCCACACAGTCACACTAAAAATAGACGGCATATTCGTTAAACAATCGAAACATATCGATAAGTGTGCGGAAAGTTCAAATTCCATTTCTCTATAAGAAAACAAATAAATCAACTCGTTGAATTCTCTTTTCAAAATAAATTTTTATTCAGTTTTTGTGTTTTTGTTGCAATCATGTCTCTCGATTTTTAATATTAATTTGTTTATTATTTAAATCATTTAATTCCTTTGTTTTTCGCTTACAATTAATTATTATCGTCAATGTGACGAAAGTTATTTGTCTGCCAATAATACTTATCGACAACAGACTTTTTGCTAATTCTTTTTGTTTCTGTTTTTGCCATTTTTACATGCATAACTATTGGGAAGATTTAATGTTTTTTATTTTTATTTTTAAGTGTTTTCGCGTTTGGCATTCGAAATTGTGGTAACTGTTTAGTTATTATGCAATTAGCTATTTAAATTGATTTGGTAGTTAGACTCGGGGCTCAGGTGGGGGCTTGGAATTGGATTTGGGGCTGGCTTCGGGTGAGTTTAGTGCTTAACATTTGCAGTTTATAGCCTAAGTTCTTGTTGTCGTTTTTAGTTAAATGCTAATTTTAAATATATTTGCCTTGTTTAAAAAAGTGTGTGTCGTCTCGAATGGGCTACTTATTGCTGAGCTCTGAACATGCGGAGTGTGGAGATTGAAACGAAAATCTGAACTCTTGGGTTTGCTGATTTCTTTATTTTCTTTTGTAATACGAACAATTCGAATGCTTTCGTGTCTGTTTGTGAGTGTGTGTTGTTTGGGGTGTACCAACCGTTTTCTTTTATTTTTTTTCGTAATTAGCTTTTGCATTTCGCGATTGCGTGTAACTCTGATCAGAGGAAATTAGTTTTTACTTGCAAAGTAAGTAAGTAGTAAGTGAGTAGTAGAGTTTTCAAATGAAAAAGCCTTTCAATTTACTACGAGTTTGTTTTCGCGGTAATTCCATTTTTTCATTCATTTCTTTTTAATTCATTTTAAATTCGTTTATCGTTTTAGTTTTTTGCCACGTCCTCTCGTCGGGTAATCGCGTCATCGGATGCCCTCTCCTAATGTAGGACGCTTAGTTTATGGTTCCGTCTCCGGGTCACCTCATTTTTTATAATTGCCTAGTTAATGCTATATTATTATTAGTTGTATTATACATAATCTCGTACATGTAGAGTTCAATCTTTTAAAGAGTGTAGAAAATGGTTTGCTTTTTAAAATAGCTTCTTTTTATCAAAAGACATCCATACACATATACATAGTTCTAATTATGCGCCTAGCTGCTCAAAGATTAGCACTAAATTAATTATAAAAAAATTATACTTAAAATGCACACCACACCTTCCTCATCTCCATCTCAATCCATTCTGATTCTGATTCCGATTCTGATTCGAATTCTCATTTTTTAAATTTCAATTTCCTTATTGCGACTTGAATCGGATTTCGATATTAAATTTTAACCAACAATCGATCGATAAACAACAACCTCATGGGGGACAGAGCAGTTATCGGTAGGATTACGCATCGCATCGCATGGCTCTGGGCGTAAGTAAAAGTCCTCTCATATCAAATCTAAATGTAAATGTAAATGCAAATAAAACATACAAAGTGAGTGTATACACACATCCCATATAACGCTCAGATTCAGCACTCGATTGGGTATTCTTCTGACAGCGGGTGTAGCTTTAGCTTTAGCTTTAGCCTTTATGGGTCGATCTGATCTTTCTGACTCCTCCAGTTAAGTAAACTTGATGTCTGGCTATCAAAAGTGTTGGTCACACACACACAATTCTGTTAGAAATTCTCCGGGCAGGACAACATATAATGGGTCGTGGGGTGGTGACTCGGGAAGACAAAGGAGTGCGATTAACTCGGCAGTGTTGCTTATGCTTCTTCGTCTGATCAAAGTCTGGCTCGCGGCTCGACCTTATTTCTTCTCATTCAACAAGGAGGTAGGTTTATCATTGATTTTGGTTTTGTGTGTAGAAAAACATTCACGTTAAAAGGTTTCTTAGGTGGGTTCCGGAAAGAGTGTTCGAGTTTCGAGTTAGAGTTCGTCCTGGGTCCTGGGGGGCTGTACCGTAAATATCACTGTTTGCTTTTGTGTGAGGGGAGAGAGAGCAGAGTACACAAGGTAGACAAAAATCGAAGCTCGTTTCTAGGAATACAACAACGGGGGCGGGACACAGACATATATAGATAGATAGATAGACAACTCATCTGAAAACTATGCGAAATTTCCAACAAAATTGTGATTGGTTTTCTTGATTGGTTTCTCCTTATGATTTCGAGTGTTTGCTTGGTTGGTTTGTTGCTTGGTTAGTTGGCTTAGTTAGTGGTTTCATAGGGTCCTGTTCCTGCGCTGCTACTGCTGCTATTATGCCTATGCCTCTGCTTAGTGTCCTTAGTTTTGCTCGTTTCCGTATTGTTTTTATTAAAATATACTCGTATATATATGTGTATGTATATATGCGGTGATATATGTGTCATAAAATATATATACACCTGTTCATCTTGTATTGATAGAGCTTGCATCTGCTTCGATTTGGGTTCCGTTACCATTTTATTATATTACTTTGACTAATTAATTGGTGACTATAACTCGGTTTCTTCGTCATTCTGTCATTCTGCTTAATCTGATTTGCTACAATATTTCAACAATAAATTTTCTAAAAACATGATGTTCAACGAACATACATACATACATACGTCCCATCCCAGTGGGTTCGTGAATGCGTCTTTTGTTTTAAAATTAATTCAATTCACTATGAATATATATATATATATGTATATATATATATATATATGTATGTATATATAGACCTTTGTTAATATCCATTATTATGTGTCAGTTTGTTACCATTTACAATTTGCTATCCTCCTTCGTGAGACTCTCTCTTGAAACGCGTTCTAAAACGAACTTAATCGCAATCAAAAAACGGAAGCAAAGAGTTTATATTCGGAAAGCAATGCATCAGATTCAACCGAGAGAGTACAGATAAGTTACTATTTAATTGAAATTTCTTCATTGGGATCATATTTTGTTTGCAAATTTGAATGAAGGAAATCAAACAAAATATTGTTGGTCCACGTGATCCCAAGATGAAAACGCAAAAAGGGAAAGTAGGACTAAAAAATTCAGACAACGAAAAGGATTCGTTCGTACGTCCTGCTTCTTCTCCTGCTGCCATCACACTCTCCTACAAATAAATGGTTTCTTTCCCTTGTTTTTGCATTTGTCAATTAAGTGCTTCGGTGTGTGCGTGTGTCTTCGTGTGTGTAAGTGTGTGTATGTGTTTTGCCATTTTAAATACATATCTAATGTCTCATAGGAACAATCTCTTATATATCATATATCTTAGGTGTATGCGTGTGTGCCTGTGTGTCGTCTGTTGTTCATCTTACATAAATTATAACAACTCAGCATATTAATTAACTTATAACTCTGTTATTGTACATACAATTACATAGACGTATGTGTCTGCATGAGTATACACATCTTGTAACCTTTGTGTGTGTCCTGTCCCGCGAAGTTTCTTTGTTGTTCTGCTCGTCCTTTTCCTCCTGCTCCTTCTTTGGCTATTCCTATGCAAATTTTTGCCTCAATTCTTCTTGTTTGCTTAACTCTTATAATTTTGTGTCTGTGTGTGTGTGTGTGCGTGTGTATGTGTGTAGCTTACTTAACACTTTTTTCGGTTCTTGTACGGCAGTAATTTTTGCTTTTTTGTTTGGTTTCTCCATAAAATATTTTCTGGTTTAGTACATGATTTTTTGTCTCGTTTCTTTTCTTGCGAATTGTTTTTCTCTTCTTTGTTTTTACTTAAAAATGTAATTAACAATTTTTTTTATTTGTATTATCCTTTTGGTTTGTTTTTTTCTTTTGTATTTTTTGCTTTGTATCGAAGCAGCTTCGCTAGTTTTTGGTTTTTGAAAAAGAACTTAACTAGGCATCCTCCCGCAGCCGCAGCGGCACACACTCCGTGTGTGTGTGCGCGTGGGCGTTTCCGTATCCTGTAGCTTAATTGTCTAATTCGAGCGTCCTTATTGCACGATTATGTGCGGAGCCGAGAGCAGCACGGTTACCGTTGCAATAATCGTAAAGAGCGTGAAAACAATTAAACAAAACCTGTGGAGTAGAAGAGCAAGCAGAGCGTTGATGATGATGGCAGGCGAAATCGGCAGGAGCACTTCCTCCAAACAAAATGGCGGCCGCACGGCGAGTCGGCCATCTTTCAATATTTGCGTCACGTGTATATGGTTGATGAGAGTATGAGTATGGGTGTGAGTGTGTGAGTGTGAGTGTGTGATTGTGTGGGTTCATTCCGCCGGAAGTCCTGTGGCAGGCTGAGCGTTTGCCGAGCCTAATTGTTTGACTTGCCAGGCGAGGCGGCAATGCCAGCCGCTGGCTCAGATTCTATAAGTTCACACCAAACTCGGGAGTACACATCCTGGCAGTACATAATGGCGTGGCTAATATCGGATGGAAGAGTATAATCTGGACGGATTTGGGGCACCTTCATTACGTCCATCAAATGTTAACTTTAGAGGGAATCAGGGTTTTTGGAGAGCTAAGCTTTTGATTAGTTACATTATTTTTGGAATAACTAATGGTGGTTATTACCAAAAAATTCTAGGCTATTAAATAATAATATTAAAAAGGGTTGTCTACAAAAAATTATATATAAGTTTCCTTAGAAATATATAACTACGAATTGTATGTTTATTTCGAGAGAAACTGGTAATATAATATAAATAATATATATAATATTCAAGAAACAAAAATCTAGTATTTTAGATTAAATATAACTTATATAAAAGAATATTAAAAATAAAAAAAAATTTATATACTCTTGCAGGTGGTATAGTACCTTGCAAGGATATACTAAAAGATACAATAAAAAAATAAGTGCACGTAAAAGGGATATCTACTGTATTTGATAAGGAAATTAATCGTAACGATCTATATACCGTATGTAAACCTGGTTTTCCTTTTCTCCCATTTATCCTCAAAAATCTCAAAGTTATGCTCATTATGTGTTGTGATTCTTATGGCAGATAAAATACATGCTATTATACTAATCTCATCTGATCAGTTTTCTTTTCAATACGGAAATGAAAATAATGCCCCTTTTTCTGTATAAAAAGGTGCAACATTTTAACAGGTTTCCAACACGATATGTATAGCTGCCACAGGAAGCAGTTTGTTCGATCCGCGAATTGATGTAGCAAGTGTTATGCAGCATGGTAGTGGTTAATACATGTCGATGGGAACGGGGAGAACTCACCTATCCACAACCATTGCCGCGAACTTCCAATCGCTAATCAATTCCGCTTCGTCGTCAGCTTTGCGCATGCGCGCCGTAATAAATTGCAATTCTTTGAGAATTAAGTGAAGATCTTTGTGATTGCAGCCGATGGCCGTGTGGTGCTCCTCCACCGTTGTGGGCCGGCCAAAGCTACTGCATTGGGTGCATGGAGATTTGGGGGGGAAATAGGTTACATGGGTTGCTCCGATGGCTACCAAGCCGGACAGCTGGTTACACTTACGCCGACGAACCGATGGCCGTCTGGGAGCCCGATATTGTGTGCCGAAAGTCATCGTCGATGTCGAGGACATTGGCTAGCAGGGACTTGGAGGAGCGCTCCTTCAGCTCCAACTCCTTCATGCGATTGCTTAGTAGTATTGTTTTGCGTGTGATCTTGCGGCCGGGTCGCCCCATCCGCAAGATCCAGGGCAGCCATTGTAGGAAAACGGATTTGATCTGGTGAAAAAACCGATACACACACACACAGAGACGAAAAATAAAGGTCAGAAGGTGGCTTCGGGAGATGCCTCAATCGGATTTGCTGGACTCACCCACGGTGGCATCTCGTGGATGTCCGCTGTGCGATGATGGTAGTTGAGCACCACAACTGTCAGCACCACCGACGATGCGACCATGAACATGATGCAGTTGAAGTAGGTGCCTGGATTGGTTGTGGCAGGAATCGGGATTCAGGATTTCAGGATTTTGCGGGGCAAACAGAGAGAGAGAGCAGAGAAAAATCGCATATTAGAGTGTTGCTCGGGGGTCCTGTAGTCTCATCGAAACACTAAGAACGAAAGCTCGAAATCATAATTTACAAAAAAACGTACAACATTACTTTAGATTTAGCTTCATTTCATGAAAGACTTTTGGTTAGCGTTACGGTTAGAGAAAGTAGCGTGATCAACTTTACTGTGTGATTACAATGCTGTGACTACGTTACTTCACTCTACGTTACGGATGCTGTTGTTACGTCTACCGAAAGCCACTACTTTTGATGTTTATTCGAAAGCCTTAGGTTTCATTCTCCGACATGCAGTTTAGTGTCGATTGCTTTTATATATTTTATTGGTTTCATGCAACGGGGTTCGACTATAACATTTTTGGTTACGAAATCGGGCCACAGGACAGTCAAGTGAAGGATGTCGTTGTAACATGGGGCTTTTCTTCGTAAAGGATATTAGTTTTAGCGTTGCTATATTGCAAGTTTTTCAAAAGTTATATAACAAATATGTATTTTAGATTTTAAAATTCATATAAGATGGAAGAAAGTTATGTCTCTTATTTAGAAAATATTACAAAATGTGTTGGAGCGACTTAAGATTGTATAAATCGAATTACTTTGTATAAAATTTACAAAATTATAGACACACATTTAAAAATAATTTTCCGATATTTTAGATTATAAAGATACTTTACGTTAAATTTAATATATCGAAGTTTTCGACAATTTCATTAGGATATTGAGTGCAATATGTGTACTGATATATCATATTGGACATTAAATTTAAAAATAAGTAAACATCTCTAAACGTGTTCCAGGAATGACCTAGTTTCCCCTTTACATTTTAATTAATTTAATGCGAAAAAATTAAATGTTGTAAATACATTATCGACATTAAATTAATAACGAAATTGAATTTATATTTATATATAAAAGTTGATTTATTAACAGCCCATTTCAGACACGTGTCCTCTCGACTGTCCCTGGCTTTTTAACTACTCTAATAATAAAGTTCTAAGAGCAAGCAATGTTGGGGTTGTTGTGGGTTCTGAGGCAATGGGGTTAGTAGTTAATTTTCATGTTTTCTAGAGTTTGGATGCCGGGGAATCGATATTTTTTAATTGCTCTGGCAAACGGATTATGTGTTTTGCCATTGATTTAGCGCTTCTGCTATTTACTGTATGCTCTCTGAATAATTTAATGCTTGATGTTTAAGAATCGTTTAATTAGTTCATTGTTTCGAGTCGGCTTTTGATAATTGGGCTTTGGGTGTGTGTGAGAGTGTGTGTGCGTGTTGCATTACCTAAAGCGATGAATTAAATAATATGTACAACTTATTTCCGGCACTCGGAAATAATCGGGTTAAGAGTCTCGAGTGTGGCTATCGTGTTAGTTGGAGAGATTGTCTCAGAGTCACAGAGAGGTTCAGCCAAAGTCTAAAGAAGCAGAGGTTATTTCGGTGGGTTTCGGTTTGGGGTTAGTTCGGGTTGGAGTTCGGGGTTGGTTCCAAAAATACTGTTGGTACATTTTCCATTATCCGCATCTCGTGTTTAACCAGTTTTGAGCTGGATCATGCTCTGCATCGCTTAACATTCGTTTACCTACTTTAGTCGCTCTAGTTTTGGTTTTAATTTTTTACAAGATTCACTTTGATTTTTAGCGCAAACTTTCGTTAGGTCTAATGAGTACTTTGTACAATCGTTTTTTGGTTTTGATTTTGATTTTGAGTTTGATCATTTTATTTGATTTATCAGCTAAAAGAGAGAAAAGTTTTTGGTTGTTGTTTTAAGGCTCTAAGAATTTAAAATTTAGTTTGTTTGGTTGTTTTTTTTGATTGTTTCTCGAAATCGATAAATGAAAAAAAACGCAAGGTTACAAACTATTACAGAAGTGCGAATACCTAAGAGCGGTACAGCCTCGCTGGTCTTGGTAATGACATTGCCGACCAGCAGTGAGAAAACTGTTTGCGACAGTAGTATAGTGACACCTGCAAAATATTATTGGTCAAATTTTTGTGGTCAGTTCTCGTGTGAATTTTTTGTTGTTTTGGGCATTATGGTGATTCTCGCCGATCGTCCGGATATTTCGGTCCAAGTGTCTTCGTTTCGGATTCAGGTTGAGATATAAATTGAGCTTAAGATAGGGGGAACTGGGATGGGACAAAAGCTTCGGGATTTTTAGACTAAATGATATTTTTTGGCTGAACCTTCTCGCAGAGAACACAACTCTACACAACATGGCCGGGCTTCGAGCATTCTTTTAGTTAAGTTTTAGTTTAGTTAAAACATAGTTCATTCGTTGTTTGTTTGGTGGGGAGAGAGAGTGCATTCCATGTGGACAGTGGACGACAGTATCTGTATCTGTAAGCAAACGAATCCGCGACCCATTTCAACAAACAAACTAAGTAAGCGGATCTCAACGAAATGATATTTTTGCAAAATACCACACAAAGGCATAGGCAATCGATCGATCAGTAATATCATTATTTATTCAGTTATTAGTTATCACAGTTTGAGTTCTCAAAAAGGTTCTCAAGCAAAAAATATCATTCCGAGAAATATGTGTGGGTCAAATAGTATAGTATATAGTATAGTATAGTATATCGAAGGTGAGTTCGGGGGGAGTATGGGGGTTTTTTGGTGGTTGGGTGGTACAGACGTTAGCTAAGAAAGTTAAAGTAGCGTGTGTGGAGTGGATTCTTGTGGGTGGTTTTCTGGTCGTGACGGTCATGACTGAGCGTATCCTGTGTGACGGGTGGAGCGAGCGATAACGATAACGATAACGAGAACGAGCTTCAAGATGGTGACAATACTCATGGACAAACCGAGGGTGAAAAAATATATCGTTATATTGTGGGTGGTGGTGAAATGATGCAATCGATAATCGATAATCTAGTGATGAGTGAGTGAGTGAGTTTGGGTGGGTGGTGGACGTGATATCGATATAGTGAGAGTGATAGTGAGAGAACCAAATCAAACACAAATCAAAGCAGTTAGCAAAAAAGTCAAATCATACAATACAAGACAAAAAACTTCTTTCTTTTCTTTTTCATTTTCATTTTTCATGTTCTTGTGATTTCTTTTCTTTAAATGATTTCTTTCTTGCGGAGTGTCTGTGAGGACGACATCCTTTGTTATCCATCTGCACTAGAATGTGTTCTTTCATGTGCGGTTTCGTTTTCACATTTCACAAGTATTATCCCAAACTCACTTGTATTGAAATCTGTCTCATAAGTATCTTTTGTAATTACGTATGGGTTGAAATTGAGGGAGTGGCGGTTTTGAACGAACGAACGAAGCGAAAGGAGTACAAGCAAGGTGTACTGCAATACATAACAGTTATCATATATTTCGGATATTCACATATATATTGTATAAATATAATGGTATATATATATATATTTGTGGGTTTTCTTAAGTTTGAATAATTACAGAAGGAACTGCTCTTGGCTGGGCTCTGATGCAATAGAAGGAATTTCAATTTGAAGGCGGAATTTTTAAAGGATATATTCATTCATTCGTTCGAATTCGGTTCGAATGGAAGAAAAGTGTGTGAGCTCTATTGCATCATCAAACGCCGCACCGATTCAGTTCTGGGAATACTGGAGAGTATATATGTATTTATATATATTGAAGGGAAGTTGAGCGATCATCAATATCGATGAGGTTCAGTGGAAGAAATTGAAGAGAAAGCGGAAACGGAAGTGGAGGGAGTATAGATCGGAAGTACACATAGATAACGATAGCATTTAAAAGGTTCCCTAACTTGTGTCGAGTTTACTAGCTCTTCTGGCTAGCTCTGTACTTTTTTTTTATTGTTGATCTGAATTGACTTGAATAAGAAGCGAACCAAAAAGAGATTGATTGATTTTTCAAAATGAACATAGAAGGCGATAGGCAGATAGTGATAGAGATACGATAGAGAGAGATATATATAGAGAGAGAGAGATAGAGCCAACAGAAAATAGTATGATCAACTAAGAACTGCTTCGATATATATTGATATATATTTTGTATTTGATATCGTAACTTCGTAACGAGTTGAGAAGAGAGGGCGGGACAGAGAGAACGAGTTGGAATTAGAATTGATTTGGTTTAGTTTGGTTTGGTTTAGTTAAGTTAAGTTAAGTTAGTAAGTACTTAGCAAAGTTGTTGGAATTAGTAAACATAGTACGACGTACACAAATAACATTTATGTTAACAACTTTTGGCACTTTAGATATTTTAAATATTGTTTGACTTGGTTGGTTAGACTAATATTTTATTTAAGTTTAAATTCGGTTTGGTTTCTTTTTGGTTTTGGCTTTGGTTTGTCGGGGGATTATATATGCGAACAATTTAGCAATGTGTGTGAGTAATATAATCGTAATAGATATGTATATATATAGATAACAACAATAACAATAATATTCATGAATATATAGATGTAGATACATAGATATGTATATATACTGCTATATATACATATATATTTTCAAGGCGTGTACGTATATGTAAATCATATTAAGTAGTTTGTTAATTATTCGTTTGGTTTTTTGTTTTTTTTTTTTTTTTTTTTTGACAAATTTGAATATATATTTGCATTTGGTAAGTATGTTTTAAATGCAATCGCTACCTAACAAGGGGATTGCATCAGATACTTGGGGCAATGTCTCAGCTACAAGGTTGAGAAACACTGTGAGCGATAGAAGAATTGTAACTCCTGAAACAAAAGAATTTCGTTTTCGTTTTGAAAAATACAATAACAACCACACAAAAACAAATGACACAATCAAAATGGAAATCATAAAGCGTACGTTTATGTATGTTTCGGTAGTATATCGGTATCTGTGTGTAATCGTGAGTAACAGTGTGTTATCGTGTTTTATCGTGTATTATCGTGTGTAATCGTGGACATATCGAGGACATCAGAGAAGGGTATGTATGTAGGTTCAGTAGTTGGACGGTTTAGGTTCTGTGTCTTTGTATCTGTACGGTGTTCGGTTTTTCCGTAGCGCCTTTTCGGGGCCGACCAAGTTGGAGTTTGGACACTGGAAATTGGAGACTGGACACTGGAGACTGGAGAAGTTCTTTGGCTATTTAGTATTACAATTTATAGGTTTCTTTGATCTCTGAATGAAGTGTGAATGAGTATATGCCTGAGTATGCTGCGAACTGAAAAGTTCAACTAGAACGTGGAGGTTTGGGGGTTCAAAAAGAGAATTGTATAAAAGAAGAAAGGAAACTAACTCCGGAAAGCCGAAGTTTATATATCCTTGCAGTTTGCAATCAAATTAGAGGTTCGAATTTTTAACCAGACATTCCTAATCTTAAATTTGACTCGATATTAGTTTTTATTTCTTTATGAGAATTTAAAGCTTTCATATGTTAGTTTTCATCAGGTTAACAAATCTGCATACAACAAATTTTTTTTTGACATTTTTTGGCATTTTCAAGAGTTAAAAATTTTTGAAAAAATTTCGAATTTCGAAAACATAGCTGGATCAACTCGGCTTTTTATGCTGATCAAGAATATATAAGGCTTATAGGGTCGGAAATAGCTCCTTCATAGAGTTACATGCTTCTGACTAAAATTATAAAACGTGATACGTATACGTAATATTTTGTGACTTTGACAATAAAATGCATACTTTGGCTCTGAATCACGATTTGAAATGCATTCATTGGCTCTTTGGCTGCTAGAGGGCTTCCGAGAAGAAGCCAAAAATTCCCAATCTAACGACTTTTTAAAAATTTGAATTATAGCATTTATAGCAGACCCAAAACAAAATTACGTATACGCACTGTTGTAAATTGTAAAAATGCATTAATTTCAATTCGGAAGTGTTCTGTTTTAGGTTTTATTAGTTACTGATGCTGATCAGGAATATATATGATTCATAGGGTGGAAAATGACTCTTTCAAGAAAAGAAAAACAAGCTTCGGACTAAAATGATAACATCCTGCAAGGATATAAAAATCAGGCAAAGCTCTCGCCAAGTTGACCCCGCTGAAATGCTGTGACTTTAAATCTCTGAAAATATCCCCCTTTATGGCGTTTAGAACCTGGACCTGCGATGTTCACAGCATTTCAGGGTATTCATTTTTGCTTTTTTTTTTCTTGCTAAAAGAAAATATCTCAACTTTTCGAGAGCTCAGCGGTTAACGGAGGGGAGGGAAACGCAGGTGGACAGGTGGGGGGAAGGGAAGAAGGGCAGAGCATCCTTCCAACTTTGACCCATTAGTAAAGCGAAGGAGGGACAGGAAAAAACTTTGAAAGTAGCGCAAGTTTTTCTCGCTCTGAGAATATTTGTAAATTGAACTGGAAGTCGACTCAAGACGCGCGCCCCACACTTGCGCTACGTGTTGCCAATTTGCCACGCCCACATGCCCGCCTCATTTAATTTGTTACGTGCCACAAAGGGCGCGAGGCTAAACTGGTGGCATTATGAGGGGGGGAAATTCACACACACAACGCAGCATGCAAATATCATTTGTCAAGTCTTCTCCGGAACTGGGGGGAAACTGCTGTTTTTTTTGGCTGTGAAAGGGGGGAAATAATGTTACGGATTCGGATACGGTAACGGAACGGGTTAATATCTAGATATACATGACATAATATGAACGCATGATGGGCTCGACATCATGAACGATACGATATTATGTGGAGTTGCAACTCTACCATCTGATCAAATGGATCTGCATAAATGCAAGTTCAAATGTTGCTTCGATTTTTTGGGTTTTTTTTTTCATTTTAATGGTTTTTCATTAAGGCTTTGATTTAGCGCTATATATATAAAATATATGGTTCTATATATGGTTCGAGAGGAGGGTTCGGTTATTTTTTTAGATGCCAGGAGTTTACGGGTTGCAAATGGTTCGGATTTTTCGGCTTGCAGTTTAGATATATATATAGATACAATTCCGGGTATTTTGGTTTTTGTTTCTTGTTGAGCGGAAATATCTAGATTAGTTGAGTGTTTCTTAGGAGGTTGGTAATTAGGTATTAGGTAATTGGTAATTGGTAACTGGTTGTTGGTAGTTGGTGTGAGAATTCGGTTCGAGTTTCTTGCGGATAAGTAGGTGCAAGTTCAAATAGTTCTTGCCGGGGCAAGAAAGTAGAAATAGTAGCTATTTGTTGGATATATTGGCAAACTGTATTATATATACTGATCAAGAGATAGAGAGAGAGAAAGAGTTGTTTTAAAGAGCGAGATAGAGAGAAAGTGTTGTTAAGCTTTATTTTTTTGGACTCCTTGCGGTTCTAGGCCCAAAAATGATTTCTTATTTGGGTTTAGATTCATGCGCTCGTGTGGCGGCGTTCGACAAAAGTTCTGGTTGTTCTTTTTCGTGGTGGTTTTTTCGGTGGTTCCGGTGGTGTTTGTTCTTTGTTTTGGGTGGGTCAGTGGTTCGGTGTACTTACGTCTGTTCGGCGTGTTGTCTATTTACAGTGTTTGGTTTTCTGTGGGTGATCGGTGGTTGGTACTGGTAGTGGTAGTGGTGAAAGTGGTGTCGAAATATATATTATATATAGTCATATGGTTAATATAAAGATGCTTAGATTCCTAGGCGGGCTCATTTGTACAGCTCAAGCGATACAAATGTCGTTGTTTCAAGCTATACCTACCGCGAGGCCTCTACTTAAACGGGGGTTTTGTCGTGTGCTCTGGGTAACATTGATAAGATGGAATAATATATATATATATATACTCCCGGTGTTCCCTGTGGTTCCTAGCTCTAACTGGCTCTAATCCAAGTATCAAAGTGTCGCATACAAACCTCTACGATGGCCAACTAACTAACTATATATTTAAAACGAGTTACAGTCTAGATAGTAATTACTCTCTACAGCATTCTGTGGTCTCTATTAACATTCGATTGGGTCCACCGGGGAGAGGGAATGGTCTTGGGCATTCCAAGGACCTGCCCCTCAACTGCGGCCCAATCGCAAAAGTCCTGCCACCATTTTCCCTCTTGTTCTATTTATGGTCTGTTTCATGTTCAGATAAACACAAAAAAAAAAAATGGAAGGACGAACTGAAAAACTGGTTAACTCAGCTTTTTGTAAGTTAGTTTGTTTTTGTTTCTGGTTTGCTGTTTCTTTTTGGCTTTGGTTTTCCTTGCTCCTGTTTTTTATCTTTAGTTATTTTTTGGTAGCGAAAAAAGGTGGTTCGTTGGATTTTTTTATGGTTTCTCTTTTTAGATACTTTTGGGTATATATGTATATATATACAGTTGTGGCTAGATTTAAAATACATTTTCTTTAATTGCATTTCTGTCTACGTTTTTGATGCGGTTTTTTGGAAATGCTGCTATGCTTTTATAGTTGAAATGATTAAGAGGCAGTTGGGCGGGAATGAGCTGGGGGCGGGGCTAGGACTCGTCCCAGCGTGATTATGAGGGGACAACACTAAGGACAAGCTTATTTACAGGATGATCGGATGGGTTACTGGGCATTACCATCTGGGTTAGTTTTTGAAAACACTGGGTTTTCTTTAGGTGTTTTTTAGTGGCAAGCTAAGGAACATAACTAAACGAAAAGGAAATGATACGATAGGCGGGGTTTTTGGGGATCATCTAGAGGCACACGTAGATAAGCAAACGAATCCAACAAACAAACAAACAAACAATCGAACAAACGAAGCAACAACGAAACGACAATAATTAACTGAGGAACCGATTATTTGACAGAGTAGTAGGAGACACGGCTTTATTATTGGGCAAACACAGCAAAAATCGAAACGAAAAACTCTCGTGTTTGTAGGTAGTACTTGCTAGTACTTTTGTGGCTGTAATTGTGATTGCAACTGTGACTTGATTTGTAACTGAGTGTGGGTGTGTTTTGTGGGTTGTGGTTGTGTTTTGTCGTGTGGCCAAATACCAATTATGTCAGAGCTATCGAGTACCCTGACCAGATGGAATATATATGTATATATTCGGTGGCTTAGCAATAAATATATATTAGAAAAGACTGGCATGAGCTAAGAGGTTGTTAAGTTTAAAGTTTAGGTTAGTGGAAAAACGAGTGAAAAGCTTAGGGAAAGACATAGAGAGATAGACAGAGAGAGAGAGCTCCTTGAGTACTTTACATCACAGTATTAGTACTGGGTACCGGCCAAGGAGCTCTGAGGACCTGAGGACCTTGTGATTCAGTGTGGTTCAGTGGTTCGGGTGGTGTATTCTAGTTCGGGTTACATATAGTACGTGTGGGGCTAGACTATCCAACATCCAGTTGCTCGGTGGAGTCCAGAGATTACAGAGAGATATAGATAGATCTAGTGGCAAACATACGGAGAGTTACGAGTTATTGATCATTCCTCATTCGAGTGTGTGTGAGTGAGTGTGTGTGAGTGTGATTGGTGTGTGAGAGCTAAGTTAATTGGTATTCGTTTCGAATCAGTTTCTTTTTTGGGTTAGTATTCGTGGCTTTGGTTCGGTTTGGTTTTGTTTTCGGTTTTCGTATCGGTTTTTCTTTTTGGTTTTCTCAGTTCATTGCACTACTGTAGCAAAACTAATGATTAACTAAAAACAGCATTAGCACAGCACGACTTTCTGATTTGTATTTTTCTTTCGGCACTGTTAGTAGTGATGGACAACCTGGGTCCAATGAAAGCTATGTAGCTTAGCTTAAATGGGTTAGATTAGCGTGTTTTTCTTTTGGTGTGTACCTATAAGAGGAACAGCGTCCGACGTTGTCGGCATGGACTCGGCGACAAGGTTTAGAAATACTGTTAATGATAGTAGTATAGTTACGCCTGCAACAAGAGATACAATAAATATAAAACGCAATTTAAATCAAAGTCGAACGCAAAACACATCGGAAAACTGAAAGATCAAGTTTACATAATAAGTTTTATATCATTATTAGTATTTATCGACAAAAATTAAGGTAAAGTTTACACATTGTTTACTCAGTTTTATATTGACTCCATTTAATGGGATATGGGGTTTGGTTCAAGGAGTTTATTTTCGGAGGGGATTTTTATTTAATCTTATTGAGCGGGACAGCTGGGACTTTGAGACTTTAAAGAGAGTGTTGTCCTTTTTTGGTTTAACAGATTACTTAATTGTAGTATTTATTGATTTGAAAAGGAAAACACTCGTTGAGTTATTGGTTTAAAGTAGTTTTTACTTTAGTTTTCAACTGAACAGAGAACATGCATAGACTGACTATCATTAAAAGCAGCGTTGATTATGTAGATTTTAAAGGGGGAGTTTAGCTTTATTATCTTTTTTTTTGTTGGGGATTGAGCCTTAACTCTTTAGGTTTAAATCCAGCTAAGCCTCATTTCGCTACCCTCGCTGCTTGACCTCACTATGATTAACTTGACAACCTGCCGGAACCTAACTATAACTATAACTTAGACAGCTATGCATAATGGGGGGAGGAGGGAGAATCACCGCTGAAAAAACTCACAAAATTCATTTAAACATTTGAGTAAATACAGTTCAGAGATCACTTGTTCAGTGGTTATGTTCTGTGTCTGAATCGGGGATCGGTTATATCGGCTGGCATACTCACCCAGGGTCAGCTTCTCGCCCGAGTCCGGCGGCAAGGTGAAGCCCAAGAGGGCCATCGATGAGATTAGCACGCATGGCACAATTAAATTGAAAAATAATATAATGTACGGCGGCGAATTTGTATAGTAAAGGTGATATCGACATATGGTTCTGGGCAGCAGGCGTAGACTATCGTATTCTTCTTTCCCGGCATGGCTGAACGATAGAAGTCAGAGATTAGTGAGCATCGGGAAGGGGTATCATTGTCTCGAGACAGAGGCACAAACATAGACGCATTTACAGATACACAAGGACACACAATATGTACAACAGATATATACACAGATCCGGATTCGATCCAGATCGTCTAGATATATACAATAATCGAGTAACTAAGACAAAAAAATCAAAACCAAAGCAACTCAAAAGGGTCTATGAAGCAATTTCATTTCGGTCTCGCAAGCAATGTGGTAAATAATAAATATTTTCCGGGTGTATTGAGATATATGCTGATTAGACATTTACAAATGACAACGATCAAACGAAATAACAGTTAGAGAAATAAGCGTAATGAGGTTTGTTTACTAACCAAGCAAGTACCACTCGCCATTTGTTATGAAATCGGAAAGATCCCCTCCATCTTCGGAATTCAAAACCAAATCCAACTGATTTTTAAATGATTTTTTTTTTTTTTTTTTTTTTTGCATTGTTCATGGGTTCATAGAGAATCGAAATCAATTTGCAATTGGCAAATTCATTTTTACACAATTTGTATATATATATTTTTTTTTGATGGTTGGTCATTGAGTTTTGAGTTTGAGTATTCGTTTTTTAATTGGAGAAAGAGAACATTTAAGATTTTAGTTTTTTGTTGAAGTTTTTTTGTTTTTTTTTTTTTAGAATTTTACAATAAGCCACATTGAAACAACATTTATGTACAGATATAGCATGTGTTCGAGGTGTACGAAAGAGAGAGAGAGAGAGAGATAGAGAGAGCGAGCAAAATATATAGAGTTTATCTTTTCTTCTCATTTGTCTTGAGATTTCGATTTGTAAATATATATATTTTGTGGGTGCAAAATACGTGGGAAATAAAAGCGCTGTAAATTATAGTTGTACTCAAAACATCCTTCAATATATTTCATTTTTGTATAAAATAAATATATATTTTTTTGTTGACTTTCATTAAGAGTCTTTACGTCGTCCAAAAAAATGTTCGCCTGTTGCTGATTTATTTTGGGCGTGGTTTTTTATTTGCCTGCTACCATGCAAAATAGTTGAAACTTCAGAAGAATTCTAGAATTTCCACACATGATTCCATTTTTTTTACCTAAGTCGGGCAAATTGAACACTTCCAACACTGGTAGACAGTGTTTGAAAGGCCTTGACGGGCGAGCTAAGCTCTTTTTGGGACGTGTGTGGGCTTAAAATATTCAAAATTAATTTATTTTTTTGTGTGTTGAATATTTTAGCCGACACACTGGACCTCTTACAGTTCAGTGCTGTTAACAACACTGCGATCTTTTGGTTTTGTAATTCGCAAAAACGCAAAGAATTGTTCGACATGAGGTTTACGAACGAACAAATCAAAAACTTGATATAGATTCGGGTTGATACAGAAATATATAAATAGATAGAAAGATAGATAGAGAGAGAGAGATAGAAGTTTGGAAAAGCATATATAAACGAAATCACAAATCCGTCCTAACCCTAGGCAGCCTGTACTCTACTAATCATCTTGCTACAGTCAACTCTCGGCGACGTTTCCCTCTCATTTCCTAGTGCGTGAGTCTCGTGATTTTTGGCAGAAGCGTGATCGTGCACGAGTTTGAATGTGTTGGTGTATTGGTGTTTTAGTATTTGGTGTTGGTGAACAGTGTTAGTGGGCAGTGTTAGTGGTGTAAGTAGCCTAGTGTAGCCAGCGTTTACTGCACTATTAGAAACTAGTTGCTGTTTGTTAGTTAGTTACTGTTTTGCTTGTTCTTAGCTTTGTGTTTTTGGTTGTGTTTTGTTTTTTTGTATTTTTCTTTTTGTTGATTTGTCGATTTGCCACTTTACCTGATTTCCATCGTAAGTCCAACTACCGAATTTCATTTCGCAATGTTGGTCATCGAATGGGAACCACGTGATGTCTATCTTGCATGTGCTCTTGAAGATACCAGGGGGCACGTACAGACAACTGCCGTTATGTTTGACCACAATGTTGGTGTGATACGTGCCATCGAATCCCTCATCCGCGCTAAATTATTGTACAATTTGTTTTAATGGATTATTGTCTGGATCGATTGATTGTTATATTTTCACTTATCAAGTTTACTAATCTATATGATTCTTTTGGGTTATCTTTACTTTCTTTTTTCTTGATTCGGTTATCGTCTTTAGGTTTTGTGATCGCTTCGAAGGCTCTTGTGTTATATGTGACTTGCGCTTTGATTTGTCACTTGCTTCGCTGGTTAAAATGTTTTTTGTTCTTCTTTTTTTTGTTTGTTGTGGTTTGGACTAAGATCTGGGAATTCTAGGTACTCTACTCTGGGAATAATAGGGGATTTTTTGTGTACGTGTTTGGTTCGGATTGTGGTTCTTGGTACTTGGTACTTGGTGTAGTTGGTCTTACATACTAAGTAGGCTCTCAAACCTGGGTTACTCTCAGACTTACATGGGTTTCTCTATGTGTATTTGCTTAAGGCTAAATGGGATTTTACTTTGACTACTCGGGGATCAAACTTGGCATGGGTGTGGGTGTGGGTGTGTATATGTTTACTATAATGGATCCCAACCAGCATTTGGTGACCCCAACGGAAATTCCATTGCCACTAAGCACTCGACAATGGCAATCTGCGGCTGGCCAGATACAAATATCTCCGCAGCTATGTATCTTTGTATCTCTGCTGCTCTTTGGAACCACTACGACTACTACTCCTACTACTTGTGTGCATATGCAAATGAAGCTCGGCAGGCACTCGAAAAATGCGGGCAAAGCATGCTCTGTATATACATATAAAACCCATCAGTGATATATATTTGCGTACATTATATATGAGTATATCTCTTGACTTTGCTGCTGTGCAATAAAATGCAATTACAGCTCTGATTCCGACTCGAGAGCACCGAGAATGTTGCGTAAACATTTTGTGGACAATTTTGTTTTGCATTTTTCGGTCACCGCAAAGAGGCAATGAGGGAGGGATTCATGAGATTGAAATGTGGGGATCGAGTTCCGTGGGTTCCGTGTCCCGTTTCTGTTCTGTGGGTGTTTTTGTGGCTCTGGTGTTATCCTGGAGGCCCATGGCCCCCATGGCAACGGGGCTTACATGCAACTGTTGCGGCATTTAAGTGGAATTTGTGCGCTGATTAGCGGCGGGTCAAGCCCACGCCGACACCCGCAAAACCGAGGTGCAGATGCTGCCCAGTTGGGCTTAAGAGATTGCGGTATTTGGGAGCGTTTTCAACCGATCCCAATATCTGTTTGCTGCGGCATTAAAGTTAATTGATATTGCAGTGAGCCCACAAAATGAATGTGTTGAAATTCTTGGTCAATCGGGGGATGCTGGCCACCGCAATTGGCCTGTCAATCCTTCATCAGAGTCCCTGGCCCCAAAAATTTGATATCATTTTAATTTGCAAGAGTGAGAGCTGCCTCTTTTTTTTTTTTTTGGTTTATTGACCAGGTTTTGTGCCCCACTAAGACCGCTGTCAGTTTGCGTTTCATTGCGGCTTACTCCCAATTTCAGTATGACTTGTGATGCCAAAAAACAGATACAGATACAGATACAGCTACAGTCACTGATAATGTTGCAATTAGAGTGAAAGCTTTTCATTCCGCTCTGTTGGCTGGCATTGGCGGTTTAAGGTCCGGCATCTCAATTAACGGACGTGAAAGGAATCGCAATCCCCGCCAGAAATCAGCATAAGTAAATGAAGCCGGGAGTCGATTGATTCGCGGAAAGAGAACGAGAGTCAGCTTCGTTTGCTTCGTAATGAGGCAAGGCCAATCCTGGCCATGTATCTCCATCTGCGACTCAGTCTCTCTATTTGTATCTGTATCTGTGAATGTGTCGGCGAATGTATCTCGCTATTGATCTAAATGATGGCCGCACATTAGCAGCGCTGGCGTCGCATACAAATTAGGCCTGAATGTGAGACGAACAGAGGGAAGAATTAATAAATTAAACGAAACGAAACGAAAGTCTGGTCGGGCCTTTTGTCGGGACTCGAAGCAAGTTCATTAGCAAACAAAGTTGACAGCCGAAAAGGTTGCCTCTTCTCCGAGGGGGAAAGTGCCACACCATTTACTGATTTCCCCAGACTCAACGTCGGGCCTACGCAGCTAATCAATATGATTTTTATTTCCAGCCTGGTCTTGGTCTTGGTCCTTGGTCCTGGCTCCTTGCTCCCGAATCAACGCCGGATGCTGCGTGCCATGGAAATTAAACCTGCAGCGTACGTGTTTTGATTCATTGTTTTCTGTCCGGGCTTTTCTATATATGTAAGTATCTTTTTTCCTGCTTTGTTTGTACGGCTCTCGGGTGACATGTAAATTCCATTTGCCGCAGGAGTCCGTTCCCGTGCGTCAATCAGCCGTAAATTCCCCATGTGTGAGTGTGTGTGTGTTTGGCCGTGTGTGAATGCTCCGCCCATTAGGTTAAATAAGCTACGCTTCGCTTCGCCGCAGTGGCAAATATAAATTGCAATTAGTTCAGCAAATGCACCTGCCTGCCTGACACTCCGCCAGGTGCATTTGTATCCCGGGCCCTGAAGTCTCTGCAGTAGTTTGTCTTAATTTGCGAGCACCAAATGCGTGTTCCCTTTTTTCCCTGTTTTTTTTTTTTCTTCTAACTTTTCCTGTGGCTTTACACACACACACACACACACGGATATCTCGGTGTCCCCCCGGGGGACATGTGGCATTTAAGTTGTTTTTAGTCGGCACACACCTGGCTTTGGCAACAAATTTTGACGTTTAAGTTATGGCTTAAAATGTTTTAAGCTCTCTTGGGTGGACATGGATTTGGTGCGCTCTTTTTTTTGGCTTAGACTCACTGCAATTGCATTTGGGAAAATCGGCTTGGAAAAAGTCCAAAGAAAAACTCTTTAGTTCCAGGACAGAGAGTACTCATGCTGTGTAAAAAGTATAGCATACTTTTTAGGGACTGTGTCTCAATATTTTTAGTTGCATTACAAATTGCAAAAATTACTATTTGTCAGCATTTCAAAAATTTTGAAATAGCCCCAACTTATATTCCCTTTAGTACCCTGCAATATAATAATGTTTTTTTTGCTGTGCAAAGTTCCAACTTTTTGTAACGCCAACATTGCAATGCATATGCTTAAGAGATATGTGTATCTGAGGGATAAATCCGTGGGTAGGAAAAACACTGGATGAGATTTAAATTTACAGAAGCCTTTGAAGGCATTACCGCTTCATTAGATGTCTCTGGTTCTGCGGTCTTAAATCTAACCTAGTATTTGGTGGTCACACTCGGTGTATGTTTCTGGCCAAGATAAGGACAAGGAGGGAATGCATGCCTTACAGTAGTCTTAGGCTAACTTACACAGACTTAATGGTTATGGCAAATGATTTTCTCGATTTTGCCTGGTGACACATCGATGCACACGCACACACACAGATATATATATTTATATATGGCTATATATTTGATTATAAATATAAGCATATGTAGTAGGGTAGTAGTATATGGTAAGTAGTTAGACGGTTAAACACAATGAGAACAGACAGCAATAGCTATATAGATATACGTATATATATATTCATATATTAATGGGTGTGGGTATATAAATAGAGATATGGTTATAACTGGACACTGAACAACTGAACAACCGAGAAACATGAGCTGATTATTATTTATTATTATTGTTTAGGAACGCACAGTGAACAAATAGCTAGAATGAACGATATATAGAGCACACACACCGATAACAATTGATTACTTTGCGGATTGCACACAGCACACACACACTGCACACCCACTCGTACTCTTGGTTTAAAAGCAAACCCCAAATGGAAAATGGCAAAATGAGAAATGAATTTGCAATTATTCAAGGCACTGCGATGAGAGTGAATGAATGACATGGATATTATTCGAGTGCGTATGCGGGCATCTAAAACACTCGTTTGAAGAGAGCCCCTAAAACATTTTGTAATTTGTATTCCCTTCGATTTTGTTCCTCTGTTTGTCGTCCGGCAATGTTTTCCCAAATGGCTTACGGGGCGTATGATGAATGCATGGCCATGGGCATAATTACCAATGAAGCGTGGCTCAGCAGTTGTTTTGTTGTTTAACAAGGCACAGTTACACACTCTCACACACACACTCACATCTCTAGACATACTAGTTGGACATGTAGACTAACATTTAGTAAAAGCAATTAAGCAAAAAGCTTGTTGTTCAGGTTAGGCGTTCTTTAAAGTATTTTAATTTAGATTTGACCTTCCCAAAAATAGGAGTTTTAGTTTGTGAAATATTCTTTAGTAACTTACTTAACTTAGAAATAAGGTTTTTAAATACAGCTTTTATGCAATATCCCTTTATTAAATTTTAAGCAACTAAAGGTTTGACGAAATCCTTTCAAAGGAAAGTTTCTTTAAGCGGAATTATAACAGACAGTTCTTGGTGTTAATTATTATTCGAAATTCCACAATTAAATCTACTTCGTAACATATATATTTGGGAAAGTTCATCCAAAACTCGTTCTTGCCGAGCTTTTTCTAGTTTAGAATTAAGTTATATATTTTGATGATGACTTTTGTGGAAATTTGTCGTGATTTTAAATGCCTAAAATGAGGTTGATTGATAGATATCATGTATCTTTTTTGAGGTGCATGAGATTAACATTAACTTGATGGGTTTTCTTAGCTAGATTAGCCAAGTATTTTGTTTAGTAGCATGTATTTAGGCTTAGCTTAATTGGTATGGAATGGATTTGTTCTATTTAAAATCATTTAGGATTGTGTGTTTATAGTTTAATTTAAGGTGTTTTGTGTGTATATATGTTTATGGGATATATGGTGGGTGGATGGGTTTTGGGGCCAGACAAGGTGAAAGTCCTGTTGCCACCTTTGCCAGGACACCCGGAACTTTTAAATTGTGGAATTTGTGGGATGAGGTGGAGGGATTTAGGTTAAATATATTTTTTTTTTTTTTGGTTTTTTGCATTTTGGTATTATTTTATGCGTTTCTTTATTTAGTCTTTTGTTTTAGTAAGAGGGATTTGATTTCTCATGCACAATACTTGAAATCTATTTTGCCTTTTGCTTGTGAGTTTTTGTTTTTTGCAAAACGTACACTACGTATGAGTATGACAAAAAACATTTTTCCATTGAATTATTGTTCTTTAATGTTAGTATTTTCTCTTTTCTTTTCTTTTCTTTTCTTTTTGTTTGGCCAAATAAATTCAAGTACTGAACGTCTAACCAGAAATATTACACCAGCATATTGTTGAACAATCTCTCAGGTGGTTATTGTCTTTCGGAAATGGAGCGAGAGGACTTTGGGGGAGTCCGAGTCTAAGTATGAGTATGAGTATGAGTACGAGTTCGAGTATAAGTATGAGTATGAGTTCGAGTCCTTGGGGCTAAAGGGGACTTGGGAATCAGACCACAGAGCTTGAGCCGTGCAGTTTCGAACAAAGTACTTGCGCAATATTCTGGTTAAACAATATTTTAGTTGTTTTTTTGAGTTTAGTTTTTTTGGTTTAGTCTGGGCGAGATTATTTAGCTTGTTTTTGGCGATTACTTGGTCACTCGGTTTAGGCAGGCCTTTTGAGGCCTGATAATTTGGTTTTAGTTAGGCATTTCATATGTGTTATACAACGTTCGGTTAGCATTACGAATCCAATTACAATGTGAGGCCCACATCAACGGCAAGCTGACAATGTACAGTCCCACTAGACAACCACTGCGTGTAAACTACTCTTATTGAAGTAAACAAAATGTAAATTATTCTGTTTTATGTTTGTATCCTTTTTGTTTTTTTTTTTTGGTTAAGTTAAGTTAAGTCACTCTTCGAAACGTAAACATTGAAAGCAAATCATAAGTGGGTATAACATTGAAACACAAATGACAAAGTATACATATACGGGTGGGAAAGTCGATTGGGCCGTCGGAATCAGGAAACATAATTGTTTGTCTGACTTGCGGCCTGATTCGAGTTTCGTATTTGTTTTTCCTTCATTTTCTTTTTTTATTCGTTGTTTACTGTTTACTAAAAGAGACACACAAACTATAGCGAGTGGATTATGATGCGTTTATAATAATAACAACTATATGTATATAATTATGGGCATGGAGTTGGGATTCATACGTACATAACTAAAACTAAAGTGTGTGTCTGGGCAAACATATTGAATATGCTTGGGATTATCGTTTTCAATTCCAAAAACAAACTCAAATCGTAACGTACAAACGAATATTGGAAATATAAACTAAGGGGGCAAACGATTAACATTTGGGTTTGTTCATTGAAGGAGGCTCCGGATGGAAAACCCCTTCAACAGACTCCCTTTTTTGGCATCTAATAATCTATGTAATTCAACTAAAGTGCACAATGCAACTACATAAATATATATGTTTTTTTCGGTTAAGCTATAACTTTAACTATAACTATAACGGAACGCAAAACGGAAACAATAAGTAGTAACTCTGTTTTATTTTGTGGGGGAATCCCTTCTAAGGATCCTCTCTGGTGATCGTTTCTTACCGTTGTTCGAGTATTACAGTGATTACAGTATTGGGTTCAGAGACATTGTGGCTATATATACCTAAAGTCTTAAGTCTTAAGACTTGCTCTATATAGAAATTATCTGGTTTTAGCGCAAACACTTTATACCAGATCCTCGGATCGGTTTCATTTGATTCATTTGGGGGCTGTGATAGCCTTTCTATTCGATTAAAGTTCGGCGTTTTTTTTTCTTTCGGTCCTTTTTTGGATCCGAAACACTTACCTGTTGTACATGAGGACGTCGGGCTTCCACAGCTTGTTGGGTGTGATTCGCAGGTCCTTGACCCCGCCATATTCCGTCTCATTCCAGCGCAGATTGTAGTCGTTCCACTCCTGCACGTGGATACATTAAATATTCATTTAGTAGTGATTGACACAAGGATTTGGATATAATGGTATAATTGCAATGCATTTTTCTATAAACTTAAAAGTATCTAATAATTCAACCAAAAATGCGACGTGATGTTTATTTTTTTGGTGGAAAAGAAAAGGATATTCCGGTTGAAGGGAGGGAGGCGGAAAGAAAGACTGGAGCAGAAGGAAAGAAAGTAAGGAATCGCAAATGAAATCTACGCTGAGCACATGCATATGCAGGCATGCAATACGGGCACACTAATCTATCATAAACAAGTACAGTTGCACAACAAGGCACTAGCTTTAATTATTTCTAGCCAACTGATTGGCCAGCTATTGCTCACACATGCTCAAACAATAGACACACACTCTCATGCAAACACTCACAATTACCGGCTGCAAAATGTGCAACTTGACAACAATTTCAAGTTAAGTCAGTATCAGCCCCGCCCGCTTTTCCCTACTTTTCCCGCCTACAGAGTCACCACACATGAGACAAGTTTTATCAACGTTCCTCGTTTGCTCTTTTCTAATACAGTTTGTTGGAGCACAGCAAGAAAACTTTATTTTTTAAATTTTATATTTAAATTTCTTTAAAAGTACTACCCTATGCAGACACAAACGAAAGGAGAAGCATGATGACCTTTAATTTATTTAAAATTACTTTACAAGGTCTCAAGTTAATTGTATATTTTTGCTAGATATTCTATAAATTTTTAGGTATTCCCTTTAAGCTTATCTATAGTTTTCCCCAGTGCATTCAAACAGTTTCTCCGTGCTTTGTGGCACTCTGCGGTTGCATGCAACGCGACTGTCCCGCCGCGTTCTGATTTTCCTCCCCGCCTGCCTGGCCGCTGTGTTTTGTGGCTTTTCCTACAAGTGGTTCATGTTCGTGTCATAAAAGCGGCAAAGTTTTCCCCTCTAGTACTTAGTTTCGCCTTTGCCCTGGCTCATGGCTCCGTTGTTGCCGCCGTTGTTATGTTTATAATTTAACACATTTGTGGCATTTTTAGAGCAAGCAATTGTCCCCGACGACCGACGACCCCTCTGGCACAATCCCTTTTTTTAAATCACAAAAATTTAATTACACGAGATGGCCTCGTGCTGCATTAAATTATACGAGTGTCGTGTCCTGGCTTTAAAACAGTTTAAAAGTTCTTTTTTTTTGGTTCGTTCAGGCGGCATTTTATGACAGCTGTAAAAACAGATGCCTCCCATATCCCCATGTGCCACATATACCGTTTTCCATTTCGCATTTCCCATTTTCGCATTTCGAGGTGAGGCGTGCTCCTAAAATCATTTTCCAGCTTTGATGTCCCTGCGGAAGGACACAGATTTTGTTGCGAATGTGGCAATTGTTTTGCGGAATAGTTGCGGCAACTCGAAATCCTGGGGTTCCTGCGGTGTCAATATCCAATCTGCTTATGGCGACAACTTCGTTAAAAATTTAATGGTAGCCCCCAAAAAAGGGTTCACAAAAATAGGTGAAGTTTTTCGAATTTTTCGGTTTCTAATGGAATTCTGAAAACGTTTTGTAATAGGCTTACATTCAATTTGATTTACTGTTTCAATTAGTAGATAACTTTTGCCATTTTTACGAAAGGTAATTGGCCATTTTAAATTGTAAATAATGCAATCTTATCTTGGTTTCAATAATAAATTAAATTGCTTTTAAACGCTATACAATATAGCTGATAAATAAAGGTTTTTAATTAATAAAATTTAACAATACCTTTCACACCTTTTCTTTATTATATATTTTTAATAATTAAAAGAAAACCCCTCAATTAAGTATTAATAAACAATTTTAAGCTGCAACATAAACTGTAGCCTTGACGCCTCGAAAAAACACGTTTTAAAAATGGCTTCACTTCCTGCAACAAATTCATCGATTTTTGCACTATTCCGTGACGAGCTTTTTGGCTGTGATGGGTCTGGGCGTTCATTTACCATTTTTAATTGCTATTTGACGGCATAATTGGGCCGTCGAGCAGAACAACACAATCGGTGGAAGGACGAGCCAGGGGCAGGACATCCATTTGGAATTCCAACAGCCTGCTGCGGTGGTTGCGAGTGGCAAATTGACAAACATTTGAACACAATTTGCGGGGGAATGCGGACAGTTTGTAAAAGCGGGTGCATCAATCATAAATATCGATGCACCCAGAGTATGCAGTATTTTTGTGTTCGAAATTACAAGAATTCCATACCATATCACGTTCTCAATGTGTTTTAAATAAATAATTTAATTAATTTCGCAAATTGACAGGACCGGAAGTAAGCGTATATTATGAGTATAAAAAATACCAACCCAGTCGCGTCAATTTACTCATCTTTACACTTCCGTTGTCACTTATCATCTCTCTTTATTTTCATTTTCTCTCACGTTGATAAACACTCTTTCATACTTTCATACAAAGGACATGCAAGGACAAACACTAATTTTTAGGGACTTCATACACGTTGCATGCTTTACTGTGTGTGTTTTGGGTTAGGGTTCTGTTTAGAGTTTGTGTGTTTTCTTTTCGAGGTTTATGTGTTTGGTTTTTAGTTGCTCTTAGGAGAAAAATATAAATGAAAACCAACTCCGAATCGAGTTCTAAATGAAAATGTCAAAAGAGATTCTGATTCGCTGGTAAAGAAAACTAGATGCCACTGTTATTAAAATATATCTCTAATTAGAAGAGTTTTGTAAATTCAAAGAGAATAAAAGGAAATAGCGGAAATTAAAGTGTGTGTCTGTGGGTTTTTGTTTTTATGTATTTAATTAAGCGATTTAAAACGGTATTTAAGCTCTTATTTAATGGTACTTATTTAGGTGATGTTATTTAAATAATTTAACGCACACACGCACTAAGCCAACGCTAGATAGCGAGAGGGTTTAAGAAGATAGTTAGAGTCAGAGGAAGAAGAGTTTTCTTTTGTACAATAGAAGACGAACGGAGAAGAGTTCGCAGGAAATGTTTAACAACGAACAAAACTCGATGATGAACACTGGACAAAACTCTTGGTTAGGGTCGTGTGTGTGATTAAATTACAATCACAAGGCAGGACTCTCTCAGGCCTGTGTCCAGGACACACGACCTGAGGGAGCCGAGCCAGAGTTGTTAGATTTACGATTAAGTAGGTGGATTTAAAGCGATTACACATTATTTAAAATACGATTTAAGCTAGTAGTAGGGATTTAAGTTGGGGTTTAGGTTCGTATGATTTATGATGTGACGAGTTTTAGTTCAGACTTACCAACGAAAGCCAAAGATTCGTTATGAGAAGCTGATTCTTCTCGTCCTACAAACGTATTTGTTTGTTTTTTTTTTTTGTTTATATATTTTTTTAAGGCCAAAGAACACAAGAAAATCAAGTTCAACGAAAGATGAAAAGTAATAGTACGTAAGACGCAAAAAGGGAAAGCATAAAAGTTAATTTAAGTCAAAAGTTTAAAAAGAGCAGAGCATGATAAAAGAAAGTTTCGGTTTATACATTTGTTTTATGAGTTTTACAAGGATTATTTTTGCCCTTCTAGAGCTGGGTATGGTATGTGTGTGTGTTTTCCTTTTTCCTTATTTATTTTTAGCATCTGTTTTTATGACGTTTTTTTGATGTATATTTTTTTTTTTTAGTTTTTAGTCTCTTTTGCTGCTGCACTCGCTGAAGAATGGCTTTAATGGGCTGCAAGTTTGCACAAGTTTGCACAAAGTAAAGTGGTTACAAGTGGGCAGGACTCGTGTCCTGTGAGTGTGTGAGTGTGGTTGGGCAAACATTTATAGTCCTTTCTAGAGCTGTTGCAATTAACTCGCTTCAGCCTCGTCGTCACTCAATTTGTTCAGAGACCCAGGGGAAGCCGGCCGAAATGCCATCAAAAAAAAACTTTGTTGGCCAAGAGCGGCGGCTTTGAGCTCCGCCTTGAAGCCTAATCTCAATCTCAATCCCTGTTCCCAGTTCCCAATTTCAATCTGCTGGTCGCCCGGCCTTCAGATCCTTTGTCCAGTGCGCCAATTTACTTTACAATCTCATCTCAGCCTCCGTGCCGTGTACATCTATTCCTCGTCCTCGTCCTTTGCTGCTGCTGTGCAATAAAAACTTTGAACTAGGTATCAAAACCCATTTATCTCTATACAAAATTTTAATTAAAGATATTTCATGCTGGCGCATTGTCAGTCCCCAAGTCAGTCAGTCAGTCAGTCATCCGGATGATGGGTTCAAGGCGGCCGTTTGAAATGCAGATGAATCTTCTTCCTTTCTAGCCCCGTAGATCTGCATGTGAAAGCCTTTCGGTAAGGTGACTGTCATTAATAACTTGCCAGTGTACAGAAAAAACAAAAAAACAACAAACAAAATTAGTTACAAGCCACAACGGCCTGAAGAAAGTGGAGAAACAAAAAAGAAATAGGGCCAAAAGAGATGGCTTAGACTTTCGGATGTCCTAGACTAAAGTTTATAGATTAAGTTACTTGCAGAAATATTTCTTAAGAAAGTCTGAATTCTTTTAAATAAGGAAGCATTAAAGTGGGAATAAGCTGTATTTTAAAGGAATCCCTCTTATAATAATCTCAATTAAAACCCTAAAGGTTTTTAAACCTGCTTAGAAAAATTCAATTTAAGATATCCAAAAGAGTGTTATCAAAAGGCATCTAATAGAGTTAAATATGTTACATATTTTTCACTAAATTTCGACTTATATACCCTTCTATAAAGTATACCTTTACTGGATACAAAACCCCCTTCAAGACGACAAAAAAAGAAACCCAAAAACAGTGGGCGAGTTCAACAGCAGCTGCAATAACGACTTGAGCCATTAAAAAGATTCAGGACCAAACAGGAGCAAAAGCGGGGCTCTGCTTAATGATATGCAAGGAGGGGCGGGATGGAAAGCCACATCCTTGGACAAGGACTTGGTCTGGTGACCTGAATGATTCCTGCTCCACAATCCGGTATTCATTTCGCAAAGGGAACATTTTCGTTTTGCCGTTTAAGCCAATATGCAGGCACTTCCTCTTCAATGTGGGTCGTAAGTGTGTGTTTGTAGCATATTTTTGCTGTTGACACCTTATAAAAATGGCGGTTTTGTGCAAATTTCATGTTTATGACAGCAGGATATAGGATGTGGGATGTGGGGACGTGGGGACGTGGGACGTGGAGCCTCTGACATTGACGCATACTAATGACACTTTGGTTTGGTATTTGGGGCAACTTTAAAGCACCATTTGCAGCAGACTTTGTACTCTGAGTTTGGCTTAATCGCGGCAAACACGTCTGCTCCTCGGATACAGATACATTTACGTGCATAAGCTATAGATTTATTTTGCATTAACGTGCCAAATTGTTTTTAAATGAGTTTCTAATGAGCCAACAATTGCCGTTGTGTCGTCTGTGGCAACAAACAGCGAATTCAGATTTCCGATTTTGGGCACTCTCTCTCGATCCCCCGTCACCCATGACTCTGTGATGAATGAATGAATGAATGCCATTGCCAAAGTTTTCTTGTTGCTGCTCCTGCTGCTGTTGTGTTTGCTTACAAATGGGTTATGCACATGAGCCAGGGACCCGGTATCCTGCCTCCTGGTTCAAGGACGAAGTTTGTTGGCCTTGGCAGCAGCCCTCAGACAAATGAGTGGGCGATAAGTGAGCACATCGGAGCTCGGAGCACAGTTTGCTCAGCGTTCCCGGCAAATGACTTTGTCGAACTCCGGCGGGGTAATAATTTGGGCAAAAGTATGTTCATAATGGCTGCTAAGGGCTGCTTATGTGATATCAATGGATAACGCTAATAGATGCGACACACCGCCTTGACTTTTAATCTTTTGCCCCCTTTTGACACTCTCAGATTTCGTGTGCGAAAGAGCTTAGAAGCAAGTTAATTGACTTGCGGATTTAATATTCTAAAATTGTATATGTATAAATATATTCTGAGAGGGGTTTTGTTTATATAGAACTTGGGTTTAAGTCAATGACTTTAGAAACTTCGGATTAGAACACTGACTAGAGGGAATCCTAAGAAGACTTCTTGTTTTGTCTATCTCTTAAAGTTATTTCAATCTAATTTTTAATCTGAAATTTCCCACAAAGCTTCCATAGTTTAAAAGAAACAATTTTAAGGCACATAAATATTGAGACATTCAAGAAACCATTACCAAATTCAATTGAACCATTTAATGGCCAAACATTTTAATTAGCTTTCTGTTTGGGTCTTAACGAGGCCAAGTCCGAATTAATCTTCATTATTTTTTCCACTGCTATCAGCTAAATGTTTCCCTTTTGTAACAAAGTCTAGGGAAAAGCTAAAATTTCCACACAGATTGCCAAAATAATCTGCATTAGAATCCGATTTCTGACTTGTGACTTTGGACACACCCCGGACAGCAGATTAAACGCCATGAAAGCTTGTTCGCTTTACACCCTCGGACTATCGCCAAAAAATTTGTAATGTTTTTCTAGGGGACAAGGGGCGGTGTCCTTTTGGCCATTTCCTTTTTGACACACACACACATATTACCATGGACCATGGAGTCATTTAGGTGGCTTTTGTGGTGGCTGCAACCTGGCAAGTCATTAGGAGGAAAAGTGGAAAGTCCTTTTGGTGTTAGCCGAAAAATGCTAATGACTTTATTTTTCTTAACTTTGATGCTCGTGCTGATGACGCCCGGGCCACAATGTGCATTTTAATGTCCTGCCAAAGGAGCCTTGCGACCTTGCTCCCCTGCTCAATGGCATTAGGTTGCAACAGCCCCCCGTCATCATCGTCATCATCATCAGGAGGAGAAGGACATGCCTTTGGAGTAACCACCAGCACGTGGTCGCCTTGAATACTTGGCAAACTTTGGCAATTGTCGGTCCGTCAGTAAGTAATCCCCGGCCCAGGGAATATATTCATGCGAAGGACATTCATTATTAGTTTGCTGCAATTTGAGTAATTGACAAACGCTGAAGCCGTTGAAAATGTCAGGGCTCGTGGAATCATAAATCTCTCTCCCATTCGGATCGATTTATAATTTATGCCACTGGAAATCAACGGGCTGCGGTTTCAATTCTCACAAACCCAACCAGCAATCCATCTGTCCGATTGCCTAGTGCATAAATCAAATTATTTCATACATATTTAATCGTGTAAATTAAAATGCATTTGATTTGTGACAGAGAGAGAGAGAGAGAGAGAGACTTAATTATATAATTTATTCCTGAAGGCGAGCACATTAAAGCCATAACTTCATCGATATCTTTTCGGTTTCTTTTTTCTTTTAATTTTTTAATGGGATTTTTTGCTGTTTAGGTTGTTAGTTGTGTTTTTTTTTTGCGCAATATGCAGATACATTGATATATAGATATAGATACAAAGAAAACACCGATTTGGATTTTTGTTTTTTATATATGTTTATCTTTCACTTTTTTAAATGCACTTCGTTTAAACAACATGCAAGACACGACTTTAGTTGTTGCTTTTGGTTTTGTTTTTGTTTTTTTCTTGTTTTGGTTGCGTTTTAATTGCGGCTTTTGCCTTTTAATCAGAGAACGCTTTATGACATGTACCCAGCAAAAATATATGATAAATATATACGTTTATATCGAACATAATCCGTAAAGAAGGCATTTACACTCGCACATCACAGACACACACGCTCGTAAATTTAAATGCAAGTAAAACATAATTGCAAACAGGAGAGAGGGGGAAAGGGTTTTTGGGTCTTGTAAATCATTTTGTCAATCGATTAATGCACTTAATGGAGCAGACTAATTCCCCATTGAAGGTTATGACTCCCAAAACGGGAGAATGAACCCATAAGACTCAGCAAAAGGAAATAACTCATAAATACCACAAACCAAATCATACTAAATATTTGATTTTAAACCTAGTTTGCTCTGCAATTAATCTAAATTGAATTGGGGGGCTACCCTCTGGGATCGATTCACTAATGAAACGCACTGTAACAAGGGGGATTACAGACGGACAGGACACAACTGTGATATCCTGCGAATATGATTTCCCTCCACTAAGCACATTTATTCAAACGGCGTGCCGCGTGTTTCCGGGGAATTATATGTAAAATGTTTTCATTTCACGTTTGCCACACAATCAGTGGAAAACCAAAATGGATAAATAAATATAAACAAAAACAATGAATGAAAAAAAAAAAAACTAAATGGAAATTACACAAAGCAAAACAGGACGAGACATAAACTAAGCATGAGGCTGGAGAACAAAAAACGGTATTCATTAAATTCAATCAATTGAAAACATGGTCATGTAGTCGTTGTTTTTTTAATTGAAACGACAATTAGTACATTTCAAAAGTTGTTAGGCACAAAAGCGATTCATTTTTTGTTTGAGAAAAATTGAAAATTGACGGCTAAACATAAATCTGCCGCCGCTGGACATGGATCCGTACCACGAGGAGCTATTAATTCATCCCTTTTTTTCTTTTGCTATTTTTTTGTTTTGAAAAGGGTTTTCCCATTCCGGCATTCACCTACATTTTTTCCGGGTCAAAACTGACCATCAGTGGAGAAGTTTCAGGTGAGCCCGTGGAATGGCTGTCGCTTTGCAAATATATAAATTTTATTTATGTCCTTTTTGGGGTCCTTTATTTTGATTTATTTGTTTATGTTTATGGTCTGCCCGGGCAATTTCTGCCAATTTAGCAATGCCATTTCGGGGCAGCCTCCATAAACATCATCATCATCATCCTTCTGTCCTGTCGGGGCCAAGTATAATTTGTGTAAATCAAAGGTCCTTGGATGCGTCGAGATAAGGCTAAGCTAGGAGTGACCCCAGGCTAATCAGATACTATATCATAGCCTTAATATTTTAAAGAAATCTCCGAAATCAGGTGCCCATCTCCTTGTCAGCATTAATTCTTCATGATTGGATTTAATTTGAACTGTGTTCCCCTTATTTGCAGTTACCTTTAATTGAAATGTATTCGCTCGCCCAGGATTTCCCTTGTAAAATAAAATGTCAAAAAAATGAACACACAAACGGAGGGAAAATAAATATATAAATATATATATTTTTCAATACCCACATCGCACTCAAATGAACAGGCACACAGACATATTGAGACAACACATATGCATATGCAAATATGTATTTATTTATTGATAAAGAAGCCCCCGTGGGGCAATAATTATTAAATGCCAAAAACAAATTCCAGACGAGAAACGAAATGAAACAAATAAAAAGAAAGAAACATATATACTTTTTGTGTGATTTTTGTGGTGGTTCAAGTTATACAAAAGTTTGTCGCTTGTTCGCTTGCGGAAACTGAAACAGAAAATGGCGAAACTGAAACGGAAACGGAAACCTCAAAAACGATAAATAATCGCAATCGCAAGCCTAAAAAATTTAGTTTTGTGATGTGTGACACACAGAGAAACGACGGGTACATGTCACTTACCAAATTTAACCACGCATTTGTGGTCAGAATCTGATTCTTTTCATCCTATAAGAGACGCAATCAATAATTGTTAATTTTAAGCCTGTTCACGTAACAATAATATCTCAGTGCCCCTTGGCAGTTATCACTCTCAGTTCTACATGTTCATTAGATGCTTTTTGGAATATTTGTTAGCTGTTCACTATATATATTTATATATAGTTCTGTGGGAAATTTGGGGTTAATCCCCACGACCACTTACCACATCGATGATCTGCTGCAGTGTCAGTCCGAATTTCACCTCCAAAGGCTCCGATTCATTGGCCACCGGTCGCTCCAAAGTGTTGTACGTGGAGAGCAGGTGGTTCAGCAGTCGCTTCTCATGCGGTCCCTGACAGCTTTCTGTAAAAATCGATACAAAAAAACAAGTACCCCCCATTAGTTGAAGTTTAATAAATTTAAGCAGAAAAAGGTTCCTTCTCTCAGAGTAACAAATTACGTGGGGGATCACAATTACAACCGCCGCTGATTTATGGCACTCTCTGGCAAATTAAACTAATAACCGGGCTCACTTATTGGCAGTTGGGCCGGAGCGGCAGGCTCATTACCGGAAAAGCCATTAAAAAAATGGCATGTACTCGCCGGCAGCCTGATGAGTTTTCGGCAGCCAGTTAATTGGTCGAATTCATTTCGCAGCTCCTAAATGAAACGATTTTTCGACACCGGAAAATTTCGGAAAATGTGTCATGTGGAGAGCCACGCAAAATGGTAGTAGTTAATATTACCCATTCGTATACTGTTAATGGCGTACCTTTTAGCTTAATTGATTGCAAAATATTAACTTTAAATGTTGTATATAATTAAGGGGGGTTTTATTGGTATATTTTAGATAAATTTGTTTACAAAATTTGCTGAGTTTTGGTTTTATTAGGTGGAAGTTTTATCTTTGAAGTCTTCAATGTTTATATAACTTTTTAAATTAAATTTTTCCTATGCATTTTCTTTATATTTTAAAATATAAAATCATGTAAAAAGTTGCAAAAAACACATGTAAACATGGATTTCTATAATACCTGAGTAACTGTTAAATTTAAATCGATGTGAATTGCATAAATTAATTATTTTCCAATGACTTGACATTTTCAATAAATGTATTTCTGTATTTAAAGTGAACTTTGGTTCTCTTTAGGGGATTTTAATATATTTTTTTATTAAACACATCTATTTTATATCAAAAAGTGAAAGAACTCATTTTACACAAAAATTTATAAAAAAAAAATATAAAATAGTTTTCTAAGTTCGAACAACACTGCGTATGAGTGATGTAATACAAAATATTACTCATACGCAGTGTTGCTCCACATGGTTTACATGTTTTAACCATTAAAATTAGTATAAATAATTAAATACTGCTGGTAAATATTTAATTTTAAGCACCCAATAAGATTTTCTATACAAATTGTAAGCCAAGGTATACAAGTCCTCTCCAGGTTCCACAGAAATTTACCTCGACACCCAACCAATTTGGTCCTGTTCCAGGACACCTTCACACGCTCTTGGCTGTGGCCTCTCCTAGGTGGGGCAGCCATAAAATGTCATTAAGTGCCACTGGGCTGAGGACTCCTCCTCCGCTCCATGGCACACCGGCGAGGTGTCGGAACTGTGGCGGCTACATTGTGCCAAAGCAAACCGTAAAATGGGCAATGACAAATATTTGAGATGAGCGCAAAAAGTTTCTAAGGAATTTACGAGCTTAGAGGACTCGGAACTCTTGGTCCCCCTAGAAAATTGACAACTCAATTGTGAAAACTATTTGCACGCCATTAGGCGGAGTGACGGGCGGCAACAAAAGGTGTGACCGCTTGTTCCAGGGGACAAATATTGACAGGCCAGCCGCAAAATTTGAGCCCAGTGAGTGTGTGTCAACTCATTCATAAATGCATTCGGGTCTCCGGGCTGAGCCGGAGCCACAGCCGGAGCTCCATAGTGGTTGCTAAGGGAAAAGCTTCAGCAGCTCCTCGGATTCATGTCGGGCAATCGAATTCATGTCGGAATTGCGCTTAAATTATGCAATCGGGACAGGGGACAGGGGACAGGGACCGCAAGGATGAAAAGGAAAGGAGAGGCATGAGGCCCATGAATTTGGCATGGCTGACCAACCGCTTGGAAAGGACCACCGGTGACCACTGACGGACTGACCAAACCCACAGGCTGTCAAGGTGAACGATTGTGTTTATTACAAGCCCATTAATATGCAGGGCAATGCAGGTCGCAGGTGAGTTGGACAGTGTGTTATGTGATGCCATCGTGTGGAAATGAAGGATTCGGCATACTGAATTTCGGTCCACGTGTCCCCTTTTCGTCCCTGTGACAAGTGACACACTAATAAGCAACTAAGCTGGTGACGACGTTACATGAGAGTGCGTTACATGTTTCACTCTGAAATTGTTTCACGAAAATATATGACAGCTTCTGTTCTGGTCAAGTTTCATGTCACGTTTCCCAGGCAATCGTTCATTTTTCGTTATATATCAATAGCATTTTTATTTCAGGTTGTTGTTAAGTTGTCACGACTTTGATTCGATTGTTTTCGATTGCGGGAATGCGTTGGTGATTTGAAGTGAATTGCAAATAACATTATTTGGTTATTTAGAAATCGTTCTGTTATTTAGATAAATATACAAACTAAATATATCTACACATATTCTGTATTACTTAATACCATGGACTTATTTCTGGGATAAATAAGGTTTATTATACATTATATAGAATTCAAATGTATCTCCTAGTATCAGAATTTGTTAAATAACAAAATTAAAACCTCCTTTCTTGTTGAACAACAATATCTATTGATAAAAATATATATAAAAAAAACATATGCTATACTACTTAATCCTTTGGACTTATTGTTAAGCTAAATAAGGCTTATTACACATATAGAATTCAAATGTACCACAATTTGTTAAACAACAAAATTAAAACCTCCTTTCTTGTTGAAAAACAATATCTATCTAGAAATCGGCTTACAACTTCATCGATTGATTTAATATCTAAATGAAGCTGCAGCATTTCATTGTTAAAGAACTATAGGCCTAATTTATCAGGCCAAATCAGGCATAATTAATGCCGAAATGCGATTTAATTGAATGAAGCATGAGACCGAGCAATTCCTAGAAGGCAGTCAGGAAAGTGTAGTTTTCTTCCAGGTATAGTGTGTGTGTGTGTCAGGGGTGTGGCTGTGGCAACTGTGGGTTAGTTACTGGCAACTTATTTGTGCAGGCTATATGCGTATGTGTGTGTTGACCCAGTTTCGCTAGCTCGCTCTCGGGCCTGATCAATTTGGCCTTGAGCGTCAGCCACAAAACTTCTCCAGCTGCAGTTGTCCTTGCATTAAGTTGACATTTGATTTCTCCGGCCACCATTGTTGCCTCTGTCCTCTGTCCTCCGCCCTCGTCGTCGTTGTCCTTTGTCTCTAGGGTCGTCGTTTGCATGATTTAAAACTGTTTAACTTCGGTTTTCGTTGAAGTGAGGGGGAGGTGACTCCTGCCACCTGCCTCCTGGCCCCTTTGTTTTGCCACGTTTTTGACTTTTCATTTCGCATTTTGCACCTTGAATGCTGAGTGCTCCTGTTTTACTTTTTTTTTGTACCTCTGTTTCGCTCCGCTTTCAGTTGGCTTTAAAATATTTATGAGCAGGGTACTTTAACCTTGATGTAGAGCGAATTGTTTGTATATATACATATACACGGGGTGTTGGTAAATTGTTAATTACCATTGTGATGCACTCTCTGTGTGTGTGTGTGTGCTGGGATTTCCTTTTGCTTTGCGCAACTGCGCCACCACGTCGTATACGTGATTTCTTTAGTAATTCAATGTTAAACTGTACCAAAAAACCAAAGCGAGAAATTAACTCGTTCAGCCACCAAGGAAAACAAAATATCAACTTATTCAATGAGTCAAGGGGAAAGAAACTTTTTGCCAAATGTTTAGCAATTCAAATTTTAGAAATTCGTAAATTGTTGTCTCTGGCTCGCTCTCGCTCTTGCCACCTTTGGCAATGCAATTTATTAAACCAACTACTTAGGCATGCGAAAATAAGGCACAAGCAAAACACATAAAAATAATCTAACACACTCTCAAGGCGACTTCTCAGGATGGCAGGATGGCAGGCACTCTCCTGCCAGAGAAGTGGACGACGAGCAGGGATGGGCTGCCGGTGGACTGGGCTGAGCTGGGGAGCCCAAGGAAAGTGGAAGGCATGAACATGGACGAGAAGTAGCAGCTGGAGAACTCAAGTGGCAACACACACTTCAAGGCCCGAGACTCGACTTGGCTGCCAAAGAGATACTTTCAACACGCCGTTCGACAGCATCAGCAAAAACAAAAACAACAGCAGGAGAAGCAAATACTATGCCAGACACTAGGAGAAGGATATCAGTCACAATAGTAAAGGACACGGCAAGAAAAATAAGTTTGAAAAACTTAGAATACAATTAAATTTATTAGAATTATTATAATTACTTTCAAGAGTCTTGTAAGAACCTTTAAAAATTGAAGTATACTTGCTATTGATAGCAGAAAGTAACCCAAATATCCAAGATATTTTTCAATATTTAAAATTTGAATACATCAAAGTTTACTTAAGATTCGATTCAATTTCTCACCGTGTCTTGCCAGCTTTTTGCAACTTAATTGCAATGTGTGTGTGGCTCAGCTTTTGCATTATGCATGAGCCGACACACGGCTCGTTATTATCATTTTGGAGCCCGCTTTCCGCTGCTTCCTGCTTGGCACTAATTGCAATTAAACAATAATGCACGCAGCGGACATGACAGAGCATCCTGCGAGTAGACGAAGAAGGGCTTACACTCCTTGCTGGCAAAAATTCTGAACGGAAATTCGCTTAGAAAAACGTGTGTAACTGGCTTGTAATTATGTCACTCGCACTTTTGATGGCGAAACGCCAGAGTGAAAGCGAAAGGCGTTTAATTAAATGTTAATAGCCAGCCCAGCGGGATGGCAACAACAAAAAGGCAAGACAATTAACGGCTCACGCTGCTTTCCCCGTCGTCATCACCGTCGTCTTTTGTTTGTATGTATTTGCATATCATTAAGCCAGGAAAATAACTGTAAACGCTTCCTTTGAGAGTGCATTATAAACACTCGACGTCGACATCCGACATCCGACTTCTCAAGATGATGGATCCCAAGTTGCCGCCTGCCAAAAGTGTGTTTAATTGCCAACAGAAATTGGCTTAAACAACAAAAGTTTATCTAGGATAATGAGATAAAAACTTAATTGCTTAAAATTTAAGTTAAGAAATGATGGAAAGATAAATCGATACGGAAATAATTTACATTTTTCAAACCTCTTCGGAACAACCTTTTAAAGTATATTAGAGATGTAATATCAAAACAAACTCTCAGTTTTCATTTATAA